AGGATTTTGATTCTCTTAAATATCATCTCCTATTCTGTCTATGGTCATTAGCATTTAGTAAGAAAAACCTGAAATGTAAGGTGTAAAGGGAGAGATTTCTTTGTATCACAGGAATCATAGGCATGCAACTAACGAGCAAGAGCGAGTGGTTAAGGATTTGGCTCACAGATTAGAAACTGGAAAACAGTGGTTCTTGGTACTAATCCTTGCCGTGCCCCTAACCTGCTGTACGGCACTGGTTAAGCCTTCAAGGCAGGGATGGTCTCTTCCCATACATTTATGTTACACCTAACACACCAAGACTTCCAGGCTCTACTGTAATGTAAATACACGTCATCACAATTTTATTTAATGGTCATCTACAGACATACCTGCATTTTCAAAGCATTGCAGAGGGATCTATCCATGCAGTCCCTACTGATTTCACTGGAAGAGAGTTCCTTCCCAACATACCAGCTTATAGTTTGGGTGTGTGAAGACAGACAGAAAGAAGGCTGGATAAAGTAATCTAAGCAGTGAAATCCTGCATTAGCAGCTACTACTCCAACAGACCACCCCAGAGTCTTTTGAAATGGATCACTTCAGCACACAAGTATCAGCAGGGATGCCAAGTAAAGAGTTACTGTGTAGTATATATGTGAACTGTACTGGTCACCTACACTGCATTGGTTACACGTCAGCCTTCAGAATCGAGAAAGTCTCCATTAGCTACAAGAAACTACAAGAAACAGATTGAGAGTTCACTAGTTTCTTAAGAGTCATGTTTAGCAAATGTGCCAGTTCCTTCTGTGGAAAACCTGAAAGGTGCTCTCATATCTCAACTGTTCACACACAACTTCAAAAGAAAATCTAAGCTAATCTTACAAACTACTTTGACTAAAGTTTGAATATTCCTGCTGAGTGGTTCAAGCAAGTCATTCCATGTATGCTAACTAAGGTGATTTCCTTACTCACAGTATGATTTGGTTATTCAGCTTTATACTTTCAGGAACAACTAGTACAAAAGAAAAAAAAAGCATTTGAGAGAGATGTAAGCTCAAGTAGCCTCTCTACACAACTGTAAACACAGGTGAGCCCTGCAAAAGGCTGCACTAGATTTTATTAACAGCCAAGTTACGCCTCAGGACTTCACAGCCTTCAAGAGAAATCACCACAAAGCAACAGGTAGAGGGGACCAACAGCTAAACCTCACCGAGGAGGATCCCAAGGACCATGGGAAGGGGAGCCCAGAAAAGCCACTGCTTGGGATCACAACAAAGCAGCAACTGCACCAGACACTGATGGCTCCACTGATTACCAGTTGCAGCCTGTCTTTGCTCATCTCACTGAGCCTGAATCCTTTTGAACTGTAACCTCAGGAAAAACAAGTAAATTGTCCTGAGTGTGATCTAAAAACTAAAAGCAACCACGTTCGGGAAAAAAATAAGAAAAATATTCTGAATTTGAATCTCTAGATTTTTCCATATAAATGCTTTTGGAATAAATTATTTACATGCCTCACATACAGTTCTTAATATTTCCTCCTCCTATATGCAACACCAGTAATGAACACAGAAAGTGCATGTTTCTTTACCTATTTTGGGTTCCAACTCTTCCAGATAAGATCTAGCACTATTTCCTTCTATTTCTCAAAAATATCATGGCTGAAATTTTGTACTGGCCACACAAGCCAAAGAAGAAACCGAGACCTCACTGTCCAAGCCTATAATGCAATGTTCTAATGTTCGGATCACAAAACGTTGTGGGTAATTTACTTGGATACTTTCAAAAAAAAAAAAAAAAAAAAAAAAAGGAGGGGAGACGGAATTTCATGTGAGATGCCAGAATAGCTGATTTCTCATCACTGCCTTGTAATTCTTCTGCAGCAGGTAGAAATAAGCTAGTCTACACCTGGCCTTGCAATTTCAACGCAGCCTGAAAAATTAAGTTTAGAAATCTCCATATGGGGGTTAGATAGCAGTCAATTAAAAAACCAAAAACCAGTACATGCCACACAGCGGTACACCTTACATGCTCTGTGCAGTGTTTTGTCAAGGAAGCGGATGCTCCAGGAGCGGGGCCTGCTGGCAGGTGTGCACTGCAGCACATGGACACGAATGGCAGGTCTGGATGGCAGATCCTGTCTGTCATCTCTCAAGCCTTCAGCTGTGGAGAAAAGCAAGATTCATAAATTACAGCAGCGCTTGTTCAGTGTGGGAAGGAGATGAGAGGCACAGCTGCCTCTTCCTCCAATCTCAGTTTTTAATGAGAGTTTTAACATGTCTCTCTGCCTGTTACAGTTAAGATCAGTCGGTTTGCAGGTGCCAGGCTGTCCTGAAGGAGGAGGAGAAGGTTTGGAGTAGCCTTCACACCGCTGCTTTTCAATGCCCTGCCAGAGACCTACACGTTACCTGCTGAGCTTGCTCCTCTCTGTTGTCACTGTCCGTAGTTAGGGAACTAACGCAGACTCGTTCATCTCCCTCTCTCGCGGAATGATTAAAAGGACAGAAAGTGAGGAAGGAGGCAGAGAACTGAGCAGCCAAGTTTGGTGACTAGTGCCACTGGAGTAAAGAAACTCAATTTCTCTCTGCCACTACTGCGATATATAACCCTAGGCGAGACACTCGGCTCCTTTAGGCCACAGCGCTCTTATCTGTGAAACTGAGGTAACAGAAGAGCCCTCCTTAGTCAGATGTTTTGAGGTCTCTGGATGGAAAGCAAAGGGCTCCCAGCACTCAGCTGTCAATGAGGATTCACTGCTGGGCCTGCACTTTGCTTGGGACAAGTGTTTAGAGAACTGAAGCTCCCATCTTTCACACCTTGGTAACAGCTCCGTGAGTCTGCAGGTAGCCTGAAACTCCCGAGGGTTAAACTTCTCCAACACTGCACATTTCTAAAGCCAACTGTTAAACCACATTATATAAACACTCATCTGATGGGCCTATCCTACAGAAGGCAACTAATTCTCACCTCAATCCTACAGCCTCCAACCAACCTGCCAGCCCCTTCGCCCTCTCTCTGGTAGGGCTGCCTTGGGGGCTCCAGGCGGAGGCAGAGCCAGTTCTCCACACATAGAGATGTGGTCAGGGGAAGAGGGAACAATCACCTCCCAGTTTCATTCCACAAAGGTAGGCTTGGGAGCCGGGGAGATACAGGCAGTCAGACGAGTCGGAGCTGCTTGACCTGTGGGGAGCAGAGGATGTCTCTTCACATCACACCCTGCTCTTCCCATATTGTCCCTTGCCAGAACCGAGAAGCTTAAGCAGCTTCAGATGTTCCCACAGGAAACACATGCAAAATGAGATTAAAACAGAATGAGAAAGGCAAGAAGTCACTGGTGAAGGAGCGAGACAATTTTTCACTGCCAAGTTAACTTTGGCTCTTGCTGCACCCCATCTGTAGCAGACAACAAGGAATGGTCTTTCCAAGTTTCAGTCTGATGAAAGGAACGGGATTTTCCTTTTCCACTTCCCTGGCAGTTTTTTACCTTGAATTTTTCAGAGGAAAAACAGAATTGTACAGTCCCATTTCACAAGCCCTTCCTTTCCATTATCACTTTGGGGCAGCGTGAGCTCTCAAGTTTGTCCTGGGGTGACAACAGACACACGACTCGCAGGGCAAAAGCCCTGTGCACCTCAGGAATAACCTTCTGTGAGACACATTTCCATCTATCCACACGGAGGGCAAAGATCCCACACCTCCGACACATCACAAAAGGAAAACAACTAACCCCCAAATGGGCAGCGGCAGCCTTGATCATCCGACAGATACACATAACATCAACGGGAGGTGACTGCGGTCAGGAAGGAAAATTCAGCCTGTTACCAACGCTCCTGTCTTGCATGTCCTTATTGCAACACGCAGCGGTGACCTCGGTTCAGAGCCCTCAAACTACAATAATAGAGGGAAATTAGCAACAGGCACATGATCCGCCTCATCTCGAGCTCCAGGAACACTGGAATGTGGTGGTCTCTTAGCCCACTTCCTCACGGGATGTAAGTCAGCATGGCAGAAACCATCACTGTCGTCAGCTGCCCTAGGGCAGACTGCCTCTCCCGGGGCTATTCCGTCCAGGCAAACTGGGGGAAAGCCAGGCCAGCCACTGCCCATGTTGAAAGGCTGCACTAGAGGTATAAGGAGGGTAGTAGTTGGTTAGCCCATTATTCTCGCATGCCTTAAATTCGGGGGTTTAAACTCCAGAATTACAGCAGTTAGGCTAGGCTGCCAAAACGTCGTGGTCTTCCAATAATGGGATGGGAATTGCATCCACTCCCAGAGCCTCTCTGCACTACACACTTGTCTACTGTATTGGCTCTGAGAAAGCACCAGGATGCAGAGGTCATCCTGCAGGCTTGAGAGAGCTCCCTCCTTTTTCCCATTATGAAAGTTCCTGTTGGGTAGCACAGGACAGGTCCATGAAGCCCAGAAACCCACCACATTGTGAAAACTGATGCCATAAACTTGCATTTTACTACAATTTTTACATCTCATTGTAATTCACACTTAGAGGCTGGTGCTGTTCCCATCAAAGTAAACGGCAAGCTCCCATTAAAAGCTGGCTCGGCTAGTATTTTAATAGCACTTAGCCATTCCCGTCCTTTGCATACTCCATCTGCGCAGCGCTTCACAGACACGAATTTCCTAATTACAGGCGGGAGACTCCGGAAAACTGGGAGCTCCTCCCGGGGGCCGCGCTTCGCTTTGAAGCGCCGGGGCTCGCGCGCGGCGCTGGGCGGCGGCAGC